TCATATAAATCATAAATAAATAAATATTTATATTATATAAAATTTATTTTTTAAAAAATAATATTAATATCTTATAGTAAATTTTATTAAAATATAATTAAAAATATCTATATCGTCGTTTATGTCTGTTCAAATAAAAAATACTGTATATTTTTCTTTTTAGTAAAAGTATTTTACAATTACATACGAAAATAATTTTTATTTTATTATCTTTATTCTTTTTATCCCACTAATATTTGGAGTAAAATAAATTTTATACTACTCTATTACACTACATATTTACAAAATACTATATACCTAAATCTACGTACAAAATCAAAAAATACCTTTAACTCAAACGAAAGAAATATTTTACATTTATTTAAATTATAAATTATATTCTCTTCAAACATCATGCAATATTTTTTTTTTTGTTTGTCTCAAACTCACTGTAATATTTTTGAAATTAGAAACAATTAATTATATATATATAAATATATAGACTTCACTTTAATAAAATTAATAAATATGTATTTCTCTCTTAAATTACATCATCTAATCTCAACTTACCCTATTTAATACTACTCACCTAAATTTTTGTGTCGAACTCAAATGTTGCACGGAGTTTGGAGCGGAAAGAGTATTATACTTAAGATATTAAATAAATAAATCACATTTAACTCAATATTTAATTTAAATTTAAATTGATAATAAAACATAAACATATGTTGTTAAAAAAATAATCGGAGCGGTAAATGAACCGACGGGTGGATCTAGACATGCAACGACCGTAGGGATAGTGACATTGACGAGAGAAACAGTGACATGCAACAAAAAGTAGCAAATGAAATATAGCTCAAATGGCAGATCATTCCATTTACATGAGGGAGATACGAGGTTCGATCCTACGTTTTCTCTGGTTCAAAAAATTCAATCACAAAATCGATGACGAGCGAATCACTACAAAAAAAATATATATTTGTAACGGAATTTCGTTCCTGCAGTTCACGTAGCTAACGTAATTTTATCCCCAATTCAGTCACTAATAGCATTAGTAACGGAAAAATTGGATTTATGAACGAAAAAACGTCGTTACAAAATTGATATTTTCTTGTAGTTATCATCGACAGGTAGGGGCATAACTATTAAAGGGTTAGGAGGAAATTGTCCTAATCCAACAAAAAAGTATATTTACCTGTCAAAAAAATTTCTATCGTTATAGTTAAATGTCGTTTCAACTACAACATATGGCATTTGTTTTTCCTTTATTTTTTCTTTTTCTTTCATTTTATTTATTTTCCTTTTTTTTTTCTTCACCTCAATGTTGCTGTTGTGTTCAGGAATAAAAGAAAATAGTGTCAGATAGATGAAAATAACCAATATTCTGTTCTCACAGAATTCAATATTGTGTTCAGAAAAAAAAAAAATGTCATATAAATGAAAATAACCAGCATTCTATTCCCACATCATTCGAAAACTTGTTCTGCCACTATCAACAGAAAAAACTAATACAATATATGATTTAAATTAAAAACACTTGTTATAAGTCCTTGATTTTTTTTTTTCAATAAAAAATGTTGGACAATATATTGTGTGGTTAAGTAATATATTTTTATTAAAAAATATGAAAATTGAAGTAATAATTTTGATTTGAAATTGAAATTAAAAATCATATTTTCAATTATTTTAAAAATTAATTTATATTAATTATAAATAAATAAATATTTATATTATATAAAATTTATTCTTTGTAAGATAATAGTAATTAATATTGTATATTTTATTATGATGAGAATAAAGAATGTATTTTTATTAAAAAACATATAAACTAAAGAACAATGATTTTAATTTGAAATCAAAATTAAATTTACTATTTGTAATTTAATTTTTTAATTTAATATTGTTAATATTTGAGAATTTTCAATATCAATTAATCTTTTTAAATTTAGGGTCAACTTTTTTTCGATTTAATATTATTAAATTATTTATTAGTTTTTAATTTGTAGAAATCTCGGATTGTATATTCTCTTTAAAATTTAGCAATCGTACTCGTAGCATAAATTAAATATTTGCGACATTAGTAAAGAATTTTTTTGAATAATCTTGATCTTTTATACTTTGTCTAGTATTGTCGATGATCGTGTTTAGTGTAAATGATATCGTAAGATTTTAAAACAAATATGCAAGATAATATTTGAGTGCGGATTGTTTCATAAGTAAAGAAACACATTATACATAAAATCACTTAGGGAAAAGTTATGAAAGCATTTTCTACATAGGGAAAGTTATATGAAAAATGTTTTTTTTTTTTTTTTTTTACTGAAAGAATTTTTATATGCATTATTGCCTTTGAAGTTGTAGATTTTTGTCCATGTCTTTTTTATATTTAATTTCTATAAATATTTTTATTTTATTTTTATCAATTTTCTTCTCAAACTATATTGTTTTATTATAGTATTGTAATTCTGTTTTATTCCATTGAACTTAATACTTTATTGATTAATAAATTTTTGTTATATAAAAGATAAAACTCATAATGTTGATGGAAGTAGTACAAAAATTGAAATGAAATTTTGATTCATAAGAAGAATCCTATCAGTTCTACTTCACTCGTGCTAAATAAGTTGGATGTCGTATGAAAAGACATAAATTTCATAAATATTTATGATAAATTCTCTATTCTCGTAAATTTAACAATACCAAATTGAAAACTCTACACCCTAAATCAACAAAAACTAGCGAAGGAAATATAGCTCAAATGGTAGAGCACTTCCTTGACATGTGGACGGTATGAGATTCGATCCCTACGTTTTCTCTGGATCAAAAAATTTAATCTCAAAATCGACGACGAGAGAATTCTCACTACTACGTAGTGATATCATCGACAGGCCGATGCATAACTATTAAGGGATTAGGGACAGTTGTCCCAGTCCCACAAAAAAATATATTTACGTATCAAAAAAAAAATATAATATTATAGTTAAATGTTATTCAACCACAAGGGATGACATTTGTGTTTCTTTTACTTTTTTTCTTCTTCTTACATTTTATTTATTTTCCTCCTTTCTCTTCACCCAATGTTGCTACTATGTTCAGGGATCAAAGACAATGGTGTCAGATAGATAAAAATGAACCAACACTCTGTTCCCACAGAATTCAGAAGCTGGTTCTGCCACTGTCAACAGTGGGAAAACAACATAGTATGTGTTTTAAATTAAAAACACTTGTTATAAGTCTTTGATTTTTTCTTTTTTAAAGTCAAAAGTGTTGGACATGTACTGTGTGGTTAAGTAAGTACATTTTTATTAAAAAAATATCATAATTGAAGTAATAATTTTTGTTTGAAATTGAAAATGAAATCATATTATCAATTATTTTAAAAATTAATTTATACTAATTGTATATAAATAAATATTTATATTATATCGAATTTTAATTTTTAAAAAATAATATTAATATCTTATAGTATATTTCATTCAAATATAATTAAAAATATCTATATAGTCATTTATGTCTATTCAAATAAAAATAGTGTATTTATTTTCTTTTCATAAAAGTATCTCACAATTAAACAAAACAACATTATTTTATTATTCTTATTCTTTTAATCTCACTAATGTCTATAATAAAATAAATTTTATATTACTTTATTATACTATATATTTATAAAATACTATATACCTAAATTTACTTTATCTCACAAAATATATACCTTTAACCCAAACGAAAAAAAATATTTTTATATTTTTTTATAATTATATTTATTCCATCTCAAATATTATGCAATATTTATTTTTTTATTTGTTTCAAACTCGTTGTATCATTTCTAAATTTAGAAATAAATAATAATATTTATATATAAAAAATATATATATATATACACTTCACGTTATCTCATCACATCACTGATAGAAAAAAAATATATGAATTTTTCTCACCAATCACATTACCTAATCTCTTAAATATCTCAAATTATTTTACTTAATAATACATTTAAGGTGTGTTTGGTACAGGGAATTGACAGTTCCATTTCTCTTATTTGTTTTCATTTTTCTGTTTTTATTTGTCTCATATATTTAGAGAAATTGAGAGAAATGATATATATATATATTTTTTTTTTTAATTTTTTTATTATTTAATTTTTATAATATTTATATTATATTATTTTAGTTTTACAAAAATTATATTTAATTTATCATTCAAGTATTTAATTTTTTACAATTGTTTTTTAAAAAAATTATACTAAGATCTTACAAAACTTTGTATATAATTTATAATTTTTTGTTTTAAAAAAAGTCACTAGAAATATTTTTTTTATGAATTTTCACTCGCTAAAACTCTCTTTTGTTAGATTAATTATTTATTCTTGTCCGGTCCATTTATTTTAATTTTTTACAAAAGAATTAATTCACATTCTTTACTCAATTCTCTTTCTCTCCAATTCCATTATTTACTGTCATTCTCTGTAATTTTATTTTCTGTACCAAACGTCCCCTTAAATTTTTGTGTCGAACTCAAATATTGAGTAGTATTTGAGACGACGGAGTATTATACTTAAATAAATAAATCATATTTAACTCAATATTTAATTTAAATTTAAACCTATAATAAAATATAAAGATTTGTTGTTAAAAAAATAATCGAGGCTGTGAATGGACCGACGAGCGGAGCTAAACATGCAAAGAACGTAGGAATAGTGACGTTGGCGAAAGGAATCCGCTGTGATAGGTGTAGCCATGCATGCACCCCTACGCCACACGCGTACCTGCACCATAGGCCCTTCCTTGTAATAAAATTGAGTGCCATCACCGCTTCATTATTATTTATTTTATTTTTTTAAATTTACTAAAAATAACCATCCCACCCAATCCCCATTCGTTCACGTTATTCAATATTTCTGTCAATTTAAATTTAAATTTAAATGAATTTAGTGGGAGTGTGCAGACAAATATATATATCAGAAGGCACTGTTAAGTGTAAGCTTGCATGCTGCTTTACAAATCCCACATGTCCTCTTCTCTTACTTCCTCAAACACGTACCCCACCGTACACTGCCACGTGTCGACGCCCCTGCCTTCTTCTCATTGGCTCATACCTTCCATTAAAACTAACCTCCACCTTCTTCCGATTCTACGCCCTTCTCCAGATCTTCATTTTGTGCCATTTTCAATTTTAGGGTTTCGAATTTGGGGATTTCTTTTTCTTTTTGAGAAAAATAGATTTAGAGGGTTTGTAATATGATTCGGACTATTAATCCTTGCGCCGCCGCCAAGACGGCGGAGATCATGTCCAGGTACCGTCCGATTGCGCCCAAGCCGGAGGTGGCCTCGCAGGAAAATGACGGTTCTGCCCTCCCCGACGGGATTAAGAAGTCGCCGTATTTGAGGAATGTTTGGGCTAATATGCAGGCGCGGCCGACGAGGACGAGGAAGCGGGGAAGGACGGCGGCGTTTGCAGCGCCGCCGCCGCCGGTGAGGCGGACGAGGGCATGCTTGCAGGGGCTGGCGCCGCCTTACCAGATTGGGGATTCTCCGGCGAGGAATTTGGCTATGCATGGGTTCAATCGTCCCGCCGGAGTTCAGCCGGAGATTCCGATTTACCGGAATCTGATTCCGCTCAAGTGCGGCCTCGACACGGCGGTGACGACGCTGTCGGAGTCGGTGTCGCTGCCGGTGATCTGTCCGGCGCCGCCGCGGACTCCGCGGTCGGGATCTGGGAAGGAAATTTCAATTGATCTGAACACGACGGCGGCGGCGGCGCCTGCCGCCGCCCAGTCGCCGGAGGAACTTGACTTCATGGCTCAGCTCTACGAGCCGGTTAAACCGGCGGTCATTTCGCCGAAACCGGTCCGGCCGGTCGGGTCGAGCATAACTGTGATGAGTATCCACGACGACACGGGCGTGAACACGGCCGTGTCGGCGGAGGACGTGGAGGCGCTGGTGGAGGCGGAGGAGGCGCCGGTGATCATCTCCGATTCTCGCAACAAAGTCAGGCTTACAAATTCAGCTTTCAAGGAGATGGTGGGGCAGCCGGAGTGTCCTTGGCTTGACTGCGCCGGCGGCGGCACCGGCGGAAGAAGCCGGAGAATCGGCGGGGAGGTGGTTCTGCAATTTTCCGGTTCGGAACCCCGGTTGGAGACGCGGACCGGGTTCAGATGCAGAGTGAAGATCGAGTGGGAAACCGACGGTGAGAAGAAAAGCTTGGATAGTATTTGCAGGTGCGTGCGATGCACGTGCCGTCAGGGGAAGGATTACCAGTTCTTGTGGAGGATTCACGACGAAGATGAAGTTCCAACCCTCGAAATATGATCGAGATTATTAATTATAAATAAATAATTAATTAAATAAAAAATAATTTAAAAGACCAAAAAAATTGTGTATATGTGATTAACGTGTAATCAATCAAGTAAGAGGCGTTGTTGTTTAAGTAGGTTTTTAATAAATATTTAAATATATATATATATAATGATAATAATGACGTTATGCATGTATGTCTGTATGTGTATGTGTATGTATTATGTATAGATGGAGGAATGAGGTCAGGCTAGGTTTGTTTGAAATTTTGGGATGTGTCTGAGGGTAATGTTGTCCTTTTGTATTCCGGTAATTTGTAAGGAAAGGTGTTTATTATTTGTACTATTCTCTTAATTATAGTTCTATTTAGGCAATACATTTTTACTTATTCGGTACTATTTATTTTTTAAAAAATTTATATTAAATATATATTCTTTTTATAAAATATTAAATTAAATAATAATTTATTTTTTTTCAAATTTTCAAAATTTTTTAAAAATCCCTATCTAATTTTTAAAAATCTCAAAAAATCCCTTTAGGTAAAAATGAAATGCTAGGACCAAAGAAGTTTTTAAGTTTCACAAACAACAAGCTGTTTCTTTTTTAAAAAAAATAATATTCATAAAAAGTTGAGGTGGTTGGGTGAACACAATTACATTTTTACTGACGATAAGAAAAGAATAAATGATATATTCTCTCCATTTCATCTGACTATAAGAAAAGAATAAGTGATATATTCTCTTCATTTTTGCCATTTTTTATTTTTGTCTGATTCAAAATAAAGTTATTATTTTTTAATTTAGTAATTGTACTACCTATTTAATATAATAAATACCCTTTAAATTTACACTATATTTTATAAATGTCATTACTTTTATATTATACAATACTAATAGGAGCATTTTCGTCATTTTCACTATAACTTATTATACTACTAACATTCGAAAATCTACGTGCAAAAAATAAACGATACCGGACGGAAGGAGTACTAATTTTGTTTGAAAATTTTATTGGTGTATTCTTACAAACAAAAATAATATTCTAATATATTTTTAAAAAAAATCAATAAATTACAGGCTTTTATTTTTTATATTTCGGATAAAAAAAATTTTCAACCAAAACACAAATCTTTATAAGCTTGTTTGGACACAATACATTAGAAAATGATATCTTAGTATTGAAATGAAATAAGGGTCACATACATTAAAAAAAAAAAAAAAAAAAAATCTTAGAAATAAGGGAACATTATATTAATAATATTGTAAGAATTTTATAAAGAAATTGATAAAAATGTGATATGGTAAATTGATAATATTATAATAATTTTATTAAAAATTTGAAAAAATGTTATATAATAAAATATAAAAAAATAGTGCCAAATTATTATTATTCTTATTTGTTAAGACAGAGATAATAAAGTTATGAATAAACAAATTTATTAACTATAATTAGAATATACAGTATATAAATTTAGTGGACAATTAAAAAAATATATTAATATAATTTTAGCAAAATGAGGAAGTAATAATATTTAAATATATATGTACTAAAGTTCGTTGATAGTGTTTTTCTTTTTAATAATTTTTTTTTAAAATATAAAAATTATATAGATAATATAAAAATTAATATTTTACTTTTAATTATCAATTTTTTTAATAAATACAAAAATATATAATATAATTTTTATTATTTTTATACAAAATTATTTTAAAAAAATTAGTGTAGAAACTTAATATTCTCCGTCCTATTGAAAAGTTGTTATTTTTTATTTTCGTCCCTTCCAATTAATATTATATTACACAGTAAAAAAAATAAAAAATAAAAAATAAAAAAAAATAAACGGCAACTTTGCACGGGACTGAGTGAGTAACCAATATTAATTCGAGAGAGTAGCAGTACTATTACTACTTTGCATACATTTTTTATTTATTTATTTACTTTTAAATCTAAAATGTGAATATTAATTATTATTATTATTAAAATTAAAAATAGAAGTAAATTAATTCATTAATATATAAAAAAAATTAATTGGATATTGTTGACGAAGTTGCAGTATCTGATCCTAGTCTACACGAAAGAGTCTCCCAAAATTCCCAATTCTCAGGTCCTTACTTCCGGCGAGGCCATTCAAGATCATCGTCGATCCCATTTCTGAATTTCTAATCAATTTTGCGTAATCAATCCATCGATTCGAGGAAGAAGACATGGAAGCAGCTGCAATTCCAATTCCATTAACGTTCGGCGATTTCCCGGAGGACGTGCAGCTCTGCGTGCTGTCGTTCCTCCGCCCCTCCGATTTGGCGGTGTTCGCCTCCACCTGCAAGCGTTTCGTTTCCCTCTACCGCCACGACCAGCGCCTGTGGTTCTCCATGTGCGATCGACGCTGGGGTTCCAAAACCCTAATCAACAAATGGGGCGGGGGTAAGATCTCCTACAAGCGCCTCTACCGTATCCTCGACGAGTACGAGAATCTAATTGGATTCTGGCGTCGCTGCGGTGACTCGGTGGCGTCGCCGCCGCCGCTGGTGTTCTTCGAATGGGGACCGTCTTATATCTCTGGTTCGAGGATTTCTCCGGCGAGAAATCGCGGTTATGAGGTGGTTAAAAAACCGTTTCTATGGATGAGCGTCGCGTCCGACGGACAGCCTGTGAGCTATCTCGATCCGGATGGACGGTGTGCGTTGACGGAGGGGGATTTGATGGATGAATCGGGGATATTGGAGAGTGAATTGATTCATGTAAACGTTTGTTTCATAGGTGAATGCCATGTTGTTTTGGAAGAGAATTTAGGGCTTCCTGGATTCAGTAAGGCGCCGTTTTTGGGGAATTCGAAAACCGAGGAGTATGAAAATGTGTACGGATCTCCCCCCGACAGTTTGATGACAGAAATTTATCAGTATTTTGCGAACAGGACGAGCCCTGGGGGCAATGGAGCTTCGAGGAGGCAGAGGCGGAGGGAGAAGGAGAAGCAGGGGAGGATGAAGAGATGGGAACCTGAGCATTTTGTCAAAATTGTGAATTGCTCACCCAAACCCGGCCGCCCCTTGCAGGGCCTCTGGAAGGTATTCATGATTGATTTTGGGGTATTCATGGCGTTTTGTTGGAGTTTCTTGGCTGTTTTCATGATCCTTGAGCTTTATGTCTCGTAAAAGTATACTATGCTTGAGTAATTCTATGATTTATTACACAATAGGCCCTCAGTTAGTGATCTCCGATATCGATCGTTTGCTTCAGTGTGATATGGGTAGTTTGTGATTGTTGCATTTTGTCAAAATTGTGAATTATTCTCTGGAAGATACTCATGATTGATTTTGGGGTATTCATGGCATTTTTTGTTGGAGTTTCTTGGCTGTTTTAACGACCCTTGGGCTTGATGTTTCGTAAAAGTATACTATGCTTGATTAATTCTATGATTTATTACACAAGAGGCCCTTAATTAGTGATTTCGGAGATCGTTGGCTTTAGTGTGGTTTGAGTAGTTTGTGACTGTTGCATTTTGTCAAAACTGTGAATGTTCTCTGGAAGGTATTCATTATTAAGGTAATCATGGCGTTTTGTTGGAGTTTCTTGACTGTTTTCATGACTCTTGAGCTTGATGTTTCGTAAAAGTATACTATGCTTGATTAGTTCTATTATTGATTAAACAATAGGCCCTTAATTAGTGATATCGAAGATCGTTCACTTCAGTGTGATTGTTGCATTTTGTCAAAATTGCGAATTGTTCTCTGGAAGGTATTCATGATTGATTTTGGGGTATTCATGGCGTTTTGTTGGAGTTTCTTGATTGTTTTCATGACTCTTGAGCTTGATGTTTCGCATAGTATTGATTAATTCTATGATTTATTACACATTAGGCCCTCTGTTAGTGATCTCCGAGATCGATCTTTGCTTCAGTGTGATTTGAGTAGTTTGTGATTGTTGCATTACAGATATTGTGTAGACTCATTTCTTACTGAATCTGAGCCTAAAGTGGGTTGTGTTATTGTACCTACAAGACCTTGAAACATTTGTGCATAGTTTTCCATTAACATTAGTTGCTCATAACACTCTCTCCATAATTTTTTCCAACTGTGAAACGAGGGTTGATCAATTTTTCATTTATTTATTTTATTCAAAGAAGCTTATTACGGCATTTCAATCAATTTATTTGTATAATACTTATATAATTAGATGCGTATTTACAACCAATGTCAGCGTTGGATGGAAATGATGTTTTGTAGATTTCATGCAATAAATAAAACATGAGGTATTTTATGCATTTATAATAAAACATTGGTAGGTAGTATGCAATTTACTCTTGTAAATAAGTTCCGTGCTAAATATTCTGATGTGGTTTTGCGAATATACCATAGCGATATATTTGTATTGTGGTTACCGTAATTTGATAGTTTCCGAAGGATACAACTGGTACGAATTCTCTCATTTTTGTGATATGCAGAGGAAAAAATGCTGCAAGATTTAATCGAAAAGAAATTATTGCATTTTTAGCCCTATATTCGACCTCTAAAGAAATTCGATTTATTGTTCAGGGTATTTGTGACGACACGAGTTTGGACTTCTATCTCGTGTCGTACGATGATGTTGGGGGTATTGCTTGTCGAAAGGTTGGGGATTCGAGCAGACCCCTTGCCTACAATGCCCCCGTATTTTGGACATCAAGTTCAACTTTCATCGAGTGCCCCTTCTCTGTGGAAGAGGATCTCATATACAAAAGCCGGTTGCATCTCAGGCCACCACCAGAAACCGATCATTCATTGTCCACAAACGACGCAGTCACGCGAATGCTCTACATCAATTCGAGCTACGACTTGGTTATCCCCGGCGCCACTCTAGACCCTCAGCAGGTCGAGGGGAGAATCTGGCAGTACCAGAATGGGACATTCGGTTTCGGGTTTCTGCGCGACAGTTACATTATAGACTTGAGGCGTATTTCTGAAAATGGTCGCCTTCTGGATGCCGCTGCAGAATCAAGCAATGGCTGACTCTACCTGCATTTAGGGTAACTATATACAAAACTAGAATCGAACAATTTCTTTTCTTGAAATTCGTCGTGGTGTACATAGACGCCGTTTAATTTGAAATCTGCATTCTGCATGCAACTTAGTGGTATTATAAATATTCTTAAACTTATATTTATTTATTTATACTATTAAATTAAAATATAAGGCAACATAATCTTTACTTACAAAAATCCCATAACCACTAAATATATATATAGCGGTATTGAATTTATAATTCAACACAATGTTGAACAACACACAATTTTTTAATAAATAATGCTCCCTCCAAGAAATATTCATTTGTTTTTTTCACGTAGTAAAATAGAAATGACAAATAATATTATTAGTACGTGCGATACAAAGGTAATGACATTTGTATAATATATTGTAAGATGTAAGAGTATTTGTAATATTAGGTAAATAGTACAATTACCAAAAAAAAAAAAATTGTTATGAAAAAATGGATATTTTGTTATGGGACGGATAGAGTATACGATATTACTATTGACAACACATCATTTACATTAATATAATACAAATATAATATGTGAACTAATACCATATGTAACTGTTGATTTTGGCACATAATATATTTTTATACCACATACACTGTAATTATAAATAAACAACACATATTCTTGTTACAAACAACAGACATTATGTGCAATAAAAATATGTACTATATTTATATTTTGTGTACAAATTTAAATGTAATTCTCCCGTATATATATATATAATATTTGTTAAATTATAGGTGAAAAGTAAATATATATGAAATATATTATTCTTATAGAAAAATAAAATACTTCCTCTGTCGTTCAAATTTATGTTCATTTTTCTTTTTTCGTTGTTATCGAAAAATAAAAATATTATCATTTTTTTTTAAGTTAAAAATTATTTTACTTTTGTACTATTTTTTACTATAAAAAAAATTAACAGATATTACTCACTTTTATTAAAATTCGTATATGATTAAATGAGCACAAATTCGGATAACGCAGTGAGTAATATCTTTTGTCACTTAACCGTAGTGTCATATATATATATATATTTATTTATTTATTCAGGAATAGGACAAAAATATAAATTAAAAAACAACAAACAAAAATGAACAAACATAATAGTGTCACATATATATATATATATAGTAAGGAACAGGACAAGCCAATTAAATTAACACTAATCATAAATTTGTCACTTGGTCTGGTCCCAATTTGCAATAAGCTTTGAATTCAAACTATCCACCTTCTTCAAATAAATAATAAAAATAAAATAAAAAACATCCACCTTCTCAATAGTATTTTAATTTTATTTTTTGGTTAGATCATCTCCAACCTATTGTATTTATGCAGTGGATTGTACAAAAAATGAAAGGGGGAGGGGGAGGGCCATTTTTGCAGATATGCAAAGTGTTACTCTAAAATGGAGTAACATTATTATTCCACTCTATTTTTGGAGTGGAATTTTTGTGGTGTTTTTTATATTTTTTGTATTTTTTGGATGTATTGTGTAATTTTAATTTTTTCAGTAGATGATATATAATTTTATATTTTAAAAAATTGTATGTAATTTTATTTTTTAAAAGCGATATAATTTTAGTTTTTGAAAGTAATATATAATTTTATTTTTTAAAAAAATAATGCATAATTTTATTTTTTAAATTGATATATAATTTTACTGTTTGAAAAGTAATATAAATTATATGTGTATGCATCTAATGTAAAAATAAATTAAAATTATGGTGTAATTTATAAATATAAAAAGTTATATAAAATAATATAAAAGATGAATATATAGAGAATATATTTTTTAAACTAAAAACTGAAGTTTATAATTGAAATAAAATTACTGTAGATCAACTGTACTTTTAATGTAATGTAGCCACTTGCAAAAGCAAATGGGATGGCCTTAGTACTATGTTCTAATTTTTTTAATTAAATATCTTCATTCATATTCTTTTATGGCTCTTTTATGAATAAATAAATTTATAAATATTCGAACTTCTTTTTTTAGGCTTTTCTTATAAAATTGGTTTTTGTTTGATTATGTATAATAATGTATAATATTTATATTAAATATATTTTAAAAATACTTATGCACATGTTAAATCTATTTATTTAATTATAACATTAATTAAACATTAATTAAATCAATATTAGTCAATAGTACTCTTTTCGTTCTACATAATTTATTCTTATTTTCTATTTTCGTTCGTCCCACGTAATTTGTCCATTTCTTTTTTCGAAATATAATTATACACTTTAATCTCATTTTAAACTTTAAAATTTTAAATTTTATAATTTTTTTAATCTTAATTAAACTATTTAGTTATCTTAATCTTAATCCACAATTATTTTTATTATACGATAATTATTTTTACTAATACATTATTTAATTACTTACTAATCACATTTTACCTAAATTCTCGTATCTATAGTAATAGACCCATAATACATGAGACGGAGGGAGTAATAATTAAACATAGTATAAAAATAAAAATACTTAATACTACAAACACTAAACAAACATATATCATATATTAAAAATTTAACAATATAGAAATTTTTATTTTTATACGAATGTATTTATTATATTAAACACAAAGAATTATATTGATAATATAAAAAATAATATTTAAAATTGAATTATTGATATTTTATAAATGAATAAAATATATACAGTATATAGGTGATCTTATATATATATAGTTTTTGGATTTATTACTCCCTCGTCCTTTTTATTCATTTATTATGTTCATATTTTTATTTTTATTTAGAAAAAAGTTATATATTTTAATTTTTAAATTCTAATTAAATTAATTAATTATTTTATTTTTAATTTTTAATTATTTTTACTAATATATTTTTTAATTATTTACTATTTATATTTGAGAATAAAAGTATATCAAAAGCATACTCCTTATAAATTACAGGCATATATTCCCATTTAAAAATAAAATAAAATAAATTGATTTATTCTAACTTCTCCCCCAAGATTTTTTCAGTTCCTAAAAAAAGAAATAACTCCTCCTCCCCAAGCCATCTTTTTATTCGCAAATTTAGAATCCAAAAAAGTAAATAAATTGAAAAAAAAAAAAAAATGGGGCAAAGCATATTGGAGGCGCTGAACGTCCGCGTGGTCGGCTCCGGCGACCGGAATCTCGTTCTCGCCCACGGATTCGGCACCGACCAGTCGGTGTGGCAGCGCATTCTCCCCTACTTCGCCGCCGACCACCGCCTCATCCTCTACGACCTCGTCTGCGCCGGCAGCGTCAACCCTGATTACTTCGATTTCCGCCGCTACACCTCTCTCGACGCCTTCGTCGACGACCTCCTCCACATCCTCGACGCCCTGCGCATCCACCGCTGCACCTACGTCGGCCACTCCATCTCCGCCACCATCGGAATCCTCGCCTCCATTCGCCGCCCTGACCTCTTCACCAAGCTCATCCTCATCGGCGCCTCTCCGAGGTAACTTATCTGTTCTCAATTTGGGGATAATTTTGCTCTCATAGGGTTTATACATCTGAAATCGAATCCGAATGATTTTGCCTGTGAAATCGAAGGATTTCATCGTGATTTTGCTTGCCTAGGGTTTATACATCTAATTGAACATTGAAATCGAATTCGAATGATTTTGCCTGTGAAATCGAAGGATTTCATCGTGATTTTGCCTGTGAAATCGAAGGATTTCATCGTGATTTTGCTTGCCTAGGGTTTATACATCTAATTGAACATTGAAATCGAATTCAAATGATTTTGCCTGTGAAATCGAAGGATTTAATCGTGATTTTGCTTGCCTAGGGTTTATACATCTAAGTAATTCAACACTGAAACCAAATCGGAATGATTTTGGCTATGAAATTTATGGATTACCTATTCCATCGTCGTGCTGTAGATTTCTGAACGACAAAAATTACCACGGCGGATTCGAGCAAGGCGAGATCGAGGAGGTTTTCTCGGCGATGGAGTCGAACTACGAGGCGTGGGTGCACGGATTCGCTCCGCTGTCCGTCGGCGCCGACGTGCCGGAGGCGGTGCGGGAATTCAGCCGGACGCTGTTCAATATGCGTCCGGACATCACTCTATTCGTTTCCCGAACAGTTTTCAACAGCGACCTCAGAGGAGTGCTCGGTCTCGTCAAAGTTCCTTGCTCCATCATTCAGACGGCGAAGGACGCCGCCGTGCCGGCGTCGGTCGCGTCGTACCTTAAGAACCACCTCGGAGGGCGGACCACGGTGCACATGCTCGACATAGAAGGTCATCTCCCCCACCTCTCCGCCCCCAACCTTCTCGCACAAGAGCTCCGGCGAGCGCTTCCTCGATGAGCACGACGGCTATGGGGGACACGGCGACGGCGACGGCGACGGCGGAAATCGGTATTTTTGTTTTTTGTTTTTTTTTAAAAAGTATAATTTGGGACACGTGGCGGGCAGTTGTGGAGTGGTGTTTTGCAAATGGGGACGGAATAGAGAGGTTAATTAATTACGCGCGCGTGCGTGTCACGTGATTAACTTGCAGTACCTTATTTATGTCCCTCTTCTTATTTTTCAGTTAATTTTTTACTTTTAAAAAGTTGGTTCTCAAAAAGTAGCCTTTTTATTTTTTTGTTTTTTTGAATTAAAAATGGAATTATTATTATGTATTTGTTGGAATTTGACTTGTATTTAGCGGTCTATCCGACTCAAAATTAAAACGAAAGGGTTGTTTAAATTGACAGGGTTCTTTTTGGGCTTATCCTAATTAATAACAAATAGGCTTAGGGTTTAGGGTGTTTTGGGGTGCTTATAAATAGACAGATATTGTTCTTAGCCGGATGACATAATTGTAAATCTCTGAATCAGTATAATCAAATTTCTTCGGTTCCTGCCCGTGGACGTAGGTTGACGGTGGTTGACACACCGTCATCGAACCACGTAAAACTTCTGTGTTCTTTATTTGTTTTATTTTTCATTTTCTCAAAACAAATGGTATCAGAGTCATATCTCATTAATTGAAGATGTCTTCGTATAAGTTTGATCTAGAGAAGTTTAATGGGTCGAATGACTTCACGTTCTGGAAGGTCAAGATGAGGGCAATTCTGGTTCAACAAGGATGTGTGGCTGCGTTGGAGGGATAAGACAAGTTTCCTAAAGACACGAATGAGGAGGTAAATAAGGAGATTTTGGCAATGGCTCATTCCGCAATCTTGCTGTCAGTTACTGATAAGGTGTTACGGGAGGTTGTAGATTAGACAACGGCTTTTAAGTTATTAAGTTATGGAATAAACTGTATGAGAAGTACCAAAACAACTCTCTCACGAACAAGTTATATCAGAAGCAACGTCTTTACACCCTCCAGATGTCTGAAAGTACTCAGGTAAAGGATTATTTTGATACCTTTAACCGTATCATTCTTGATCTTCAAGGGATTGAGGATAAAGTAGATGATGAAGATCAAGCCCTAATTTTACTATGTTCACTACCTGGTTCATATGAGAATTTTGTAGATACTATGCTATATGGTAGAACTACAATTTCTGTTAATGATGTGAAAGATGACCTTATGTCCAAGGAATTAAAAAGAAATGTTTATCTGGAAGAGGGTTCTGGTTCATGTCTGTTTGCATGTAGGGGAAGACCACAGGAGAGGGGTAACGGGAATGGGAGGTCGCATTCAAAATCAAAATCCTCTAATAAAGTTAAGTGTTATTTTTGCAAGGGAAAGGGAAAGGGATTGTCCATAGAAGAAGGGAAATACAAAAGTTGATTCTAGTATCAGTGTGGCAGCAGTGCTGCTGTGGTACAAGATAGTTCTGATGATGGGGACTTTGGTGAAGTTCTGACAGCGTGTAGTGCTAGTACTGCTGATTCCTGGATTATGGTACCGGTGCTTCTCACCATATGACGTTCTCTCATGATCTACTAACTTCTTTTAAAGAGTGGAATGGAACGGTGAAGTTAGGTGATGATGGGGTTCTAGCCATAAAGGGGAGTGGAATAGTGCAAATAAAATTGCATGACGGTACTGTCAGAAAATTTGACTGTTGGTATGTTCCTGAACTTAGAAAGAATTTGATTTCTCTTGGCACCTTAGCCAAGAATGCTTTAAAATATCATGGTGAAGGTGAGTGAGTGAAAGTTCCGAAATGTGCTCTGGTAATGATGAAGGGAAAACTGCAGCATGAAATTTATTTTTCATAGGGCAGTTCAGTGATGGGAACGACGGCGGTATCTCCGTCCTTGGATAAACATGATGACAAGACAAATTTGTGGCACCGTCGATTAGGTCACATTAGTGAGCTAGGGTTGTTTGTGTTGAGCAAGCAGGGTTTATTTGGTGGGGATGTGATAGGTAAAATTCAATTATGTGAGGCTTGTGTAAATGGGAAGCAGGGTTCAGTACCGGTCATCACACTTCAAAAGAAATTCTGGAGTATGTTCATTCAGATCTATGGGGTCCCTCTCCGGTGAAATCGCAGGGCGGGTATTCTTACTTTGTCACTTTCATAGATGATTATTCGAGAAAAGTCTGGTTGTACTTTCTGAAGACTAAAGATGAGGTGTTTGGGAAGTTCAATGAGTGGAAGACCATGGTTGAAAAACGTACAGGTAAACGGAACTGATAATGGGTTGGAGTTCTGCAACGCTCCATTTGATGATTTCTGCAAGAAAGAAGGTATAGTGAGACACCGCACTGTACGACACACACCACAGCAAAATAGAGTTGCAGAGCGAATGAACCAAATCCTCATGGCGCGTGCTAGGTGAATGCGCATATTTGCTGGCTTATCTAAGCAATTCTGGGCTGAAGCAGTAAACACTGCTAGCTATTTGGTTAGTAGATCTCCATCAACTGCAATTGACGTAAAGACTCCTCAAGAGGTATGGTCCCCTAAATCCTCTGATTACTCTAATCTAAGAATATTTTGATGTCCTGCATACACTCATGTGAATGATGGTAAGCTGGAGCCAAGGGCGGTAAAATGCATATTTCTAGGGTATGCAACAGGAGTAAAAGGTTATTGACTGTGGTGTACAGAAGGTAAAAGTGCTGGTAAATTTCTTATTAGCAAAGATGTAACCTTTGATGAATCTGCTATGCTTGATCAGAGTAGAGGTTGTGAAAGCATTGCAGGTGCAAAAGATTGTGGTGCTAACCAGAGGGTGGAGTTTGAGACTTCTGACAGAGTTGTGTTAGAGGAAGAGCAGCAGGATAATACTATTGATCAATCCGATCAACAGATCAGTCAAAACCTCAAGGAAAACCGGTTGAGGGAGAAGTTGATGACGCTGGTACTGGGGTTGAAGATTCCATAGCAGCAAGAAATGGAAAGAGAAATATTCAGAAACCAGCTAGGTTTGCAGGATGTGTCAATACATGTGACATGAATTATGTGGCTTATGCACTGGCGGTTGGTGACGATCTTGGCTCTGATGAGCCAAAGACATATAAAGAAGCTGTGACGAGTAAAGATGCAGAAACCTGGATTATGGCAATGAATGAAGAGATGTAGTCTCTTGAAAAGAATAAGATTTGGGATCTTGTTGCACTAACAAAAGGGGTGAAGCCAGTGGGATACAAGTGGGTCTTTAAAAAAAATGAGGTAATTCCTGGTGTTGAACCTGATAGGTTCAAGGTGAGACTGGTGGCAAAAGGGTTTTCACATAACGAAGGAATCGATTACCATGAAGTCTTTTCTCCTGCGGTGAAACACAAAACCATTCGGGTTCTTTTGGCAATGGTGGGTGCTTTTGATCTGGAGTTGGAGCACCTTGATGTAAAAACAGAATTCCTTCATGGTAATCTAGAAGAAAAAATTTACATGTCTCAACCGGAGGGGTTCTACAGTTCTAAAGGGGACCAGGTATGCTTGTTAAAAAAATCTCTGTATGGCTTGAAGCAATCTCCGAGGCAATGGTACAAGAGATTTGACTCATTCATGGTGTGTAATTGTTATACTCGTAATCAGTTTGATAATTGTGTTTACTCGAAGAAAGTTTCTACTGATTCCTTTATGTATCTGTTGTTGTATATGGATGATATGTTAATTGCAGCTAAAAATATGGTTGTAATTAATTACTTGAAGGCTCTACTAAATGGTGAGTTTGAAATGAAGGATTTGGGTGCGGCAAAGAAAATACTTGGTATGGAGATCTGGCGTGATAGAGAAGCAAGACGGCTATGGGTTTCTCAATTGAGAAAGTTTTGCAGGCATTCTCTGTTGATCAGTCCAAACCGGTAAGTACCCCTTTGGCGGCACACTTTAAACTTGATCGAAGCACTATACCGGCTACAGATGAAGAGGTTAGTTACATGAAGACGGTTCCATATTCAAGTGCAGTTGGAAGTCTTATGTATGCGATGGTATGTACGAGACCGGATCTCGCTTATGCGGTTAGTGTGGTGAGCATGTTTATGGCTAATCCGGGTAAAGCTCACTGGGGAGCTGTAAAGTGGATCTTGCGATATTTGAAAGAAGCGTCTGATATTTGTCTGGTATATGATGATAAAGGCCATAGTGATGGTCTTGTTGGCTATGCAGACTCTGATTACGATGGTGATTTGGTGAAACGAAGATCACTGACTTGTTTTATCTTCACTCTGTTTGGATGTGCAGTCAGTTGGAAGTCTACTTTACAACCTACGGTTGCACTGTCGATGACTGAGGCGGAATACATGTCAATGACTGAAGGTATTAAGGAGGGTATTTGGTTATATGGTCTGGTGTAGAGTTTGGGTCTGAAGGTGGAGAAACTGGTGTTATTCTGTGATAGTCAAAGTGCTTTGAGTTTAGCTAAACATCCAGTGTATTATGACAGAACCAATCATATTGATGTAAGATTGAATTTTATCCGTGATGTTCTGGAGGAAGACAAATTTTCTATTTAGAAAATAGCTACATAACACAATCCAGCTGATATGTTGACAAAGGCTCTACCGACGGAGAAGTTTGAGCACTGCTTGAACTTGGTGAATATTCGCAGGAAGTAAAGCCCTCTCGGGGCATCTGGCAGGAAGAAGACGACTGAGAGATACTGACAAACCTTTGGCGGTTGGAGAAACTCCAAGTCAAGGCGGAGATTCTTGAAATGTAACTTGGATTTAGCGGTCTACCCGACTCGAAACGAAAGCGAAATGGTTGTTTCAATTGGCATGGTTCCTTTTGGGCTTATCCTAATTAATAACAAATAGACATAAGATTTAGAGTGTTTTTGGGTGCTTATAAATAGACAACTATGGTTTTAGTCGAATGACATAATGGTAAATCTCTGAATCAGTATAATAAAATCTCTCTGATTTCTGCCCGTGAACGTAGGTTGACACACTGTCATCGAACCACGTAAAACCTTTATAATTTTTATTTGCATTCTTTCTCATTTTCTCACAGCAATATTTTATTTAATTTTGTATATATGTATATCGACGAATCCGAATTTTGGTCGAATCCAGAAATTGGGACCCAAAAATTGATGCGTATTGTATTGGAGTGTCCTTCGGCCTAAATCCAGGAATCGATGATCGGTAGCCTTTCATATATGTTCAGTGGAATATATACAGTAACTCTGAAAGCAACAACTCTCTGGATAATTATACCATTATGCTTTCATTAATTTAGCCCCTTTTTATTTTTTTTTCAGTTTTGGTTTTTTTTTTTAAATAATAATAAAGGATAAATTATATAATATTCCATTGTATTTTAATAAAAATGCACAAAACACATGTGTTTTATTTATTGCGCGAAACTCCTTTGTGTTAACGTAAAGTTTGCATGAAATACTTTTTTGTCCAAAACTAATACGTGGTTCTAAATAAATATCTAAAATACACAAGATTTATACAAATAAAAAACATAAATTATTAAAAAAAATTTGAATAAAATAAATAAATAAATAGTTGATCAATTATTTATTTTTATAATTTTTCATAAAAATCATATAACAATTTGTTTCTAAAAACTATAAGATAGATGAAAAATTAATAATTTATTTATTTATTTATTTTATTCAAAAAAAATTATTTAAGATATTTTGTGTTTTTTTATTTCTATTGCACTTGCGTTTAGGTATTTATTTATAATCAAATATCAATTTTGGACAAATATGGTGTTTCATGCAAATTTTACATTAACCCAAAGAAATTTTACGCCATAAATAAAACACAAGATATTTTTTACATTTTTATTAAAACACAATGAGGTATTATATAATTTACCTATTAATAAAAAAATATATTTTGTGATTTGAATTCTTTTCTTTAACCCCGAGTCCATCAGTCATAAGTTCATCTTCACAGAGTAACATCAATTTTCAAAAGTGAGTAAATACAACTTGATATTATTCATTAATTGTTCTTTTAAAATATATATATATATATATTAAAATTATATTCTTTCACAAATTATAATTTTGTGGGTGGGAATTAAATATTGTCATTTTTGTTTGTTTAAATACAAAATGTTATTTATTTTTTGTAAGTTTAATCATATACTTCATAGATATCTGTTCAAAATTACGTTCGTTTATCTGAATATAATTACATTCCTTAAAGTATAAAAAAATATATAATCTCTCTGTTCCAATATAATAGCATGTTTACTATTTTTGTTCATTTTAAAATAATAGTCTCAATTTCATAAATGACCATATCACTATAAAATTATTCATATTTTTTCATTATTATTACAACAAGGACGGAAGAAGTATTTTTTACACAAAGTACCACTAACCAGGTGGAGATAGTATTTATTTATATATATATTTTTTAAATATGGATCAGCTAAATATTACTCTCTCCGTTCCAAATACTATGACGACGTTGCTGTTTCTGTTTCTGTCCGTCCCATATACCATGTCACTTTTTATTTTTTATTTTTTAAAAAAATTAATTAAACTAATTAGTTATCTTAATCTTAATTTATAATTATTTATATTATAGGATAATTATTTTCACTAATACATTCTTAATTATCTACTAATTACACCCCTTCTAAAATACCGTGTATACAGTGTAGCGGACACGGTATCTGGGACGGAGGGAGTATAAAATAAAGGCCCAAAATCTGGAAATATGGGTCTATACTTTTTCGTAGGCTCATTATTTGTTGGGCTTAAATGAGCATAATTGATGGGCTTAGAATTTAATGCTACGTTTTATTTTAGATTTTTTTAGACAAAAAAAAAATAAAAATAAAAAGGAAAATTGCATAAATTCGAAAGACGGATGAATAGAGTATTTCAATATTAATATATGAGAATTAAAATTAAATAATATTGAATGGTAAATCAAATTATGCATTCATACAATACTTCAAACTTAAAATAACATAATAATAGTATAGTTTTATTTATATGAATATTTTGTAATTAAATCTTGTTACGGATTAATTTCGTAATTTTTCTATACACCTTAGAATGTTAATTAATTTGTATAAAATTAATTTCGTAATTGTACTTTTAATTATACATTTCATACTTTAATTATTCAATCATATTGTATTACTAAAAATTAATAATAATAAAATAAAGTCTCTCGAGTACATAGCCCACTTCAAATCTGAACTAGCGATAAGCTATTGCCAAGTAATTTATTCAAATAATCAATTTCGCAAATAAGAATTTTACGGTGAAATTAATATTTAAATAAACATAAAATCAAAATTATGGTTATAAAAGAAAATTATTGAACAATTGAAAATAAATCAATCTATACATGTTGGATGAAGGAAGTTGGGAGGTGATAAATGAATTAAGGAATAACAGTATTTAATTAAAAACAGGTATAAAGTAAAATGTCATTTTTTTTTAAGAATTTTAAAGAGTACGTTAGAGTAATAATCAGGGATAGTTTAAAAAAAGAGGAATAATTTGTTATAAAGTGAATACTACGGTTACTAAATAAGGAAACACAGACGAAAATGAAAAAATAAGACAATTCTTTTGGGACGGATAAAGTATTAATTATTGGATTAAAATAGTACTTTCTCTGTCCCAATACAATAATCTTGTTTATCATTTTGTCTCAAAATAATAGTATCATTTCCATAAATAACCATATCACCATAAAACTATCCCTATTTTTTCATTATTATTACACAATTGCCACTACTTTTACACTAATATATTCACAAGGGTAAAAAAGTCAATTATCTTTATTTTTTACCGACTACCAATATAATAATATTTCTTAAATCTCGTGTCCAATACAATAAGACTATACTTTTGGGGCGGAGGAGTATAATTTAATGGATTAAATGTAATCGACACGGTACTAATTAATTCTAATTAATAGGCTAATCGTCTTCTTTGTATTGAGTTAAATTATATTGATGATATTATTGTAATAATAAATAAAATATAGAATTTTTTTATATATATTGATACTAAAATTAGTAAAAATTAAATAAATTGATCTGGGGCGAATTAAAATAGCAAATAAATAAACTCATTGTTGGGATCCAGGAGTCGAAGACCAGGGAGCGGCCAAGAATGGCCTGCATAAAGTAGTAGCACTTGTATCATTGTATTGTATCAGATTTGTGTACTTTCTTGCAGTTCCCTCCTATCCAGTCAAACATAAATTTTTTATACTTTCCCTTACTCATAAATAAAAATAAATAAATAAATATATATATATATATATATGCCCACTTTATGAAGTTCCTTCAAACAAATTACTTTCTAATTTAAAAAATATATATATATATATAAATTTAATATTCCCTCTGTTTCATTTTTCATGTTCTATTTTTTATTTTAGTCTGTCTTATTTATTTTATTATTTTTTTTAAAAATAATTATATACTTTAATTTATAATTTTTTTTAATTTTAATTATAGTAATCAATTATCTTTATCTTAATCTATAATTATTTTTATTATACAATAATTATTTTCACTAATATATTTTTAATTATTTACTAATTATACTCCTTATAAATTCTCGTGTCTACAGTAATGCGAACAAAATATCCGGAACGGAGAAAGTAATAACATTTGTACAAAAAATTATACAAATATAAAGTTATTTTTAATGTTAAAAATAATAACGGTCAAATACAAATTGATAAATTGACTGTGGATAGAGGTATTACTATATCCCTAATTTAAATAAAAATTAAAAGATATTTTAATATTAATGCATAATTATTTTTACTAAAAATTAAATAAAAAACAAATTTTAATAGAACATACAAAAAAATGTAAAAAAAAAAAATCCTTAAAATTAGGAGAGAGAATATTATTTAAAAAAAATTAATAATAAATCTAATCATCATCCCCCATTGCAACACCTGTTAGTTATAATCCCATCAACATACATACACACATAAAACAAAACAAAACAAATATAAATCCACAGCAACAGTAGAAAGACCTAAAGCCCTATTGACTGATGTGATCATTCTCAACTACATCACAAATACTATCATACATATATATATATATATATATATATATTTTAATTACTTATAAAAAAAAAAAAAAAAAAAAGATGGGCTCCATCAACATCCCCTTGAAAAGTGCTTCTCTTTTTCCACCAGGCAAAAACCATGATGGACAGCCCCTTTCTCAAACAGGGGATGAAAACTCAACACCACAAAAAGGGGGTGGGGTGGGGTGGGGGTAGGGTAGGGGTGCCTCCCCCAAACATATTCAAACAAAAACCAGTCCTCACAGACTCACAAAATCATCTTTTTTGATAGCCAATTTGCAACAAACATGTATCAAATCACTGCAACAGCTCCCCCAAACCCCATCAAGACTCTAAAAAGGATAAGAAGAAGAAGAAGAACATTAAAGGGCCCCTCAAAAAATTTAAAATAAAAAAAAAAAATTACCCTTAAAAATCCAGGGCTGCTCCATCTACACAGGAATATATATATTTTTTTAAAATTTAAAAACATCAAAATAAACAATAATTATAATAATAATTAAACAAATGGGACAAATATCAAGAAAATAATAGTAGCTGTTTTTTGAGCTGTGGACTTTTGGTCTTTGGGGAAGTCTTTTTCCTGCCTTTCTTTTCCACACCTTTTCTTTCTTTCTTCTTCCAGAATCATGTATCTATATATATATATATATATATAGGCAGAGATTATTACTTATTAGTCCAAAATAAATAAGAAAAATTCACATAATCTCTGCCAAATTAAGTAGTGGTGTTTTCAAGGCTTTCTCTTCTTGCCATCATCATTCTCATGATCAAACACAAGCCTCTTTCTTTTACCAATGGCTGCTGCTGTTGAAGAAGAAGATGAGATCCCATGATCACTCTGTAATAAATCTTGTTGAATTTGGTAGTAGCAACCCATGATTTCCTCCTGGAATAACATATTAAATTCAATATGGGATTCAATTTTATTTTTTTTGTTAAAAATAAAAATAAAAATAAAATTGTAATTCTCACAATTTGGAAAGGCAAACTTGAAATCAAGAAACTCCTCAATGTATGTTCAATGGCATCCCTTTTCAAGAATTGATCAAATTCAATCAGTGTGGCTGCTGCTGCCACCACAGATGGCCTGTGACACATTATTTTCACATCTGCATAAATTAAAATTAAATTAATTTGTGAGTTATAAGTGTAAAAATCCATCTAATGATTATTATTAAATTTTACAAAGGGTTACCTCTCATTGTGCCCAAAATGACATCCACAGCTCTGTAAATTGCATCACTATTTCTTGGTGTGTTTTCAAGAAACTTTCTTGCAAAAAATTGAATGTAATGAAATGGTGAAACTAATCCAATTTCCCATTCCAATGTGTTCAACACCAAAACCTCCATTCTCTGTATAATTTTGCTCCCAAAAGTGTAACCCTCACAACAAAATTCAGACAATCTTGGAACTTTCATTTCCACCATTTTTGCAGCTATTGAAAGACATGAAATGCACAGCAACCTCACAACCCATTGCTTCTCTTCCTTCACATATAAATATTTTTATAAAATACCAAAAAAAATGTCAAGAAAATCAATGCTCAAATCATTAGGACAACAAGACTTACATCAAGAGATCTTCTTCTTGCAAGAAATCTATCAAGATATGTCACTGATGCATACGCTGTTTGGCTTCTGAGCTTAAGGCGATCTCTTGTCTGCAAAAAATTGGCAAAAATTAATAACAACAGCATAATTTGGTAATCAGTAAATGTGTAGGAAAACTGACTTTGAGAATGTATGAAATTCCATCCAAACGCGCCCTTAGAACCCAATCTGGATGAGGAATTACGTCTCCCCTAATTCGTAGCCCTAAATTTCGAGCTCGAGATTCTTTCTCGAGGAACATTTTGATGGAATCTTCGTCGTAATTTTCCTCCTCTTCTTCTTCTTCTTCTTCAGCTACATTTCGAGAAGTTTCCATCCCTAATTTCTCGAATTTGTGCTTTTTTTGGAGCAAAGGGGGAGAAAAAAATGTTAGGTTATCTATGGAGCTTCGAAGGAAAATTTGTGCTCTCTCTCTATATATATATATAATAGACAATGTTATAATCAAACCATTACAGTAGCTTTTCTGTATGTATCTGTGTATGTATTGTGTAAGTCTCTGTTTCGCTCTCTATCTAAATATATATATATATATATATGTGGGAAGGAGATTATGGTTTATGGAGGGGCTAAAATTTGTTCGAAATGGGGAAAGAGGAAAATGAAGTTGAAATCGGAGGTGGGGCGACGTGGCGGAGAGCGGTGGTGGAAATGGAAGGGCCGCCGTGGAGAGAGAGAAAGGTTCTGTTGACTGAGAGAGGAGAAAGAGAGAGATAGAGAGAGAGTGAGTGAGTGAGTGTGTGTGTAAAAAGTATTGAATGAAAAAGGTATGGTTTTGACGGAGGTATTCTTTTGACACGTGGGCCTACGGTGTGGCGACACGTGGAAAAGTGAGTTGTCAAATAAATCTTATTAACGTAGGCTGTTCCATACTTGCATTTATTTACTACTACTACTACATGGCTTTGTTTTATTTTTTTTATTTAAATTTATTTTACTGTACACTTTCCTAAATCCACCTATAAATTATATATATTTTTGTTTTGGACATTTAATTATAAAATAATAATTTTATTAACTATATTATTTTTTTATTTATATAAATACTTTTAATTTACCTATTATAATTAAAATATTATTATTTTTTAAATTTCACACTAAAAATAAATGTGAACTTTTTAACCGGACGGAAAGAATAAATGAATGTGTTGTGTGTGATAGTAATTTTATTGATATAAGTTTTAAATTTTTTTACAGTTTAACGCAAGAGTATTTGTAAAAAAAATCGAGTATTTTTTAAATGATTAATTTGTTATTAGATAATAAAAAATATATATATATAAACTTTGTGAGTAGACGTAGATAATATCTTACAACAATTTAAGTTCAATTATTATTTCATCTAAAAATAATTTAAATCTTGACTTATATATTATTTTAAGATGATGTTTTATAAAAATATATATATTTTTTTATTAACAATCATAAAAAAATATACAGTGAACAAATAAAATAATTTAATTTCGCTTCAAACTTTCGATATTTTTAAATTTTAGGTGTCACATTAAAAAAATAAATATTACTATTTTTACGTCGTAAAACAAAATTATAAATAAAACAAAATTATAAATATAAAATGAACATTTCAATTCATAAACATTTATGTAATTAAGTTACTTGTGTTCTCATGCATACCTCACTTTTGCGCCGTATTAAATAAATATTGTATTTTTAATATAATTTAATTTAATTAATCTATTACTTTATCAAATTAAATGAGTCAAATATATATATGGTAAATTATATAATATCTCCTTATGTTTTAGTAAAAATGTACAAAACATATGTGTTTTATTTATTGCGTGAAATCCATCGTGTTAATATAAAATTTGCACGAAACACTCTTCTTGTCAAAAACTGATATTAGTTCTAAATAAATACCTAAATTACGTAAATTTTATATAAATAAAAAGCGCAAAATATCTTAAATAATTTTTTTGTATTAAATAAATAATTTATTAATCCTTTATTTTATAGTTTTTGGAGACAAATTGTTGTCTGATTTTTATAAAAATTTATAAAAATAAATGATTGATAAATTATTAATTTATTTATTTTATTCAAAAAATTATTTAAGATATTTTACGTTTTTAGTTGTATAAAATTTACGTAATTTAGGTCTTTTTTTTGAACCAAACATCATTTTTAGACAAAGAATGTGTTTCATGCAAACTTTCTATTAACACAAGAGGCTTCACTAATAAATAAAATACAGAGTATTTTGTGCATTTTTAGTAACACACAATGATGTGTTATATAATTTACCTATATATATATATATATTTATCTGTTTATATGTCAAATATGATAGATGATGGATAAAAAAACTATTAATTTAAAAATAGATATATCAAAATTGATGCATGAGTAATAAAATGTGTCTATAAATTCTTATTGTAATATTACATGAAATATTGTCTAAAAAATATAAAAATAATTAATGTGCGTTATATATTAATATTTTTTTAAAAAATATATGTGTGCATTTTTATTAAAAGAACACACCCTATTTTGACATGAATTTAATTTTCAAACAAATATGTAAATTATGGAGAATGTTTTAATAAATATACAAAATTAAATTCACGTAAAAAAAATTTGTACTAAAAATTATTATACTGCTAGTTCATATCAATTTTAGAAGTGTCATGTCAACACACACGATAATATTTGATCCAACATAATATTTTCAAAACCTACGAGTTAGATATAAGATTATTTTTATACAAATTTTATTTAAAGTGTCAAATGAAAATGTATTTATATAAAGAACTGAAAACATATTTATTCCTTAAAAATATATTTACCCAAATTATAATTGTTTATGATTTTTTTTGGGCCGAGATAATTTAAGCCCAAATTCAGGGTCCAGTGGGCCATCCATTATGACGTCACTTACATTCTTTAGCCACACCCTGGACTACAACTCCTGATATTATCCACGTCTATATTTGCCTGTCACCTACGCCTCCAACGGTGTAGATCATCCTCTTCATCCCAGGAGTTCAGATCCCGGAGCTGCTGACCTCTATTCCTTTTACGACAAGGCTTATTTACCTTTTTAATAGAAATTTTTATATAGTGTGTATTTTTATTCCCTATATTAAAAAGGTTATGAAAAAAAAAAAAAAAAAAAAGTAAAATTTTTTTAAAAAAAAAAAACAGATTTATTTTTCAATGAATTATAAAAACGAAAATAAACTTTTTTTTTTAATGACATGTAATATTATAAATTATAAATAAACAAAAAAAATAAAATAGAAATTCACCATAGGACAACTGTAGGACGCAAGATCCAATACAAATTACAGCCATTTTATTTACCAAAATTAATTTTCAAATAAATAAATAATAGAATTTTAACAGTGTACAGATCTTCATGCGCATTAACCTTAATTTAATCACCTGTTTTTTTTTTGTCCATATTGTCCAGAAGAATCCCCACTGACCCACCCCCTTTTTATGGCCTAATTTTAATTTTAAAAAATTAAATTATTTATTTTATTTAATTAATTAATTAATTAATTATTATTATTATTATTAACTGACAAAGTATAATCCACATTTCTTTTAATAGCTAATAACTGTGACAATAATAATTAAGAATGACCAAATAGAAGTTGTACATATTAGGTTGGATGGGATTAAACAAAGTTACATTCTGCTTATGTACACATTTTTTAAAAACTTTATTAGCACTATTCGCTAATAATTTTTCAATAAATATTACATTAAATATTTATTTTATTTTATTTTACAAAATATTACTCCAAGTATTCTCTACTCAACTCAAAAATATATTTTCTCTAGCGGCCGCACTTATGTTTCGCAAAAAGAACACCGTTTGCTTTTTGCACGTAGATTTTTTAATATTGGTATTATATTAGTTTGTAGTAAAAAAGACGAAAATACTCCTATTAATATAGTGTGTTATAAAAGTGATGACATTTGTGTAATATATTGTAAATTGTAAGAGTATTTATTATGTTAAGTAGGTAATATAGTTACTAAATTAGGAAATGATATCCTTACTTTGGGACGGACAAAAATAGAAAATGGTATCCTTATTTTGGGGACGGAAAAAAATAGAAAATGGTATCCTTCTTATGGGAACGGAGAAAGTATATATATTTTTTATTTTAGTAAAAGTAATCATACATCTAATACCAAAATATTATTGGTTTCGATTTAAATTACAAATATACCATTGCATATACAATTATTTTATACATAAAGTCAAATGACAAAAATGTCAAAATCTCTTACACATTTACACTAATCAATGAAATATTTCCTATCTCAAAATAATAGTTTTATTCTGTCATTTTCGTCCGTTCCAAAACAATAATCTCATTTCTATTTTTGGAAACTCTAGCCCCACTTTTTTACAAAGCTATCCCCATCTTAATTCTTGTGTTCATCCCAATTATCTTTATTGTTTTGAAACGTAGATAATATTATTATTTATTAATATATTACAAAACCCCATAAATTTATTATAAGCAGTAAATGAATGCAACCATAAGCAATAAAAGAATACAACCTGAAAGAGAAAGTCTTTAACTAATATTTTTACGGTCTTCGATTACTAATATTTCATCTATCCGTCAATTTTTTTTAATTATTATTATTTATCCGTCTTTTAAATTTACCTTATTATTATTAATTATGATAAAGTCAAATATTTAAGCTCCAATGTAGCTAAAATTTTTGGGATTGAGAGATTCATAAAAATTCATAAGTAATAAAAGAATACAACCATAAGCTCTATTTATATGGAGATTTGGACTAATATTTTAAAATTTTGAAATATATATATGAATAATAATATATTTAATATCATTTAAAAAAAAAAAAAGTTAGAGAAATAAATTTGAAAGATTCCTCAAGTAGAAACATGCATAAGCATATATATATATATATATATATATATAAACAACAATGTTATGGTTATTTGTGCTAGATTCTGATTCTGCTTCGGACCACCACTTATTATGTATTTTATTTTTTATTTATTTATTTTACTTTTGCGTGTGTATTTATAAATTTATTGACACTTTGTTTGAATTCTATTATTATAATTCTTTTAGGATAAAATTAAAGCTACCAGCTATATATATTATTGAAGGCAAATTATGTAATACTCTCTTGTATTTTAGTAAAAAATTGTATAAAACATTTCATGTTTTATTTATTGCGTGAAACTCTCTTATGTTAATACAAAATTTGCATGAAACACTCTCCTTGTCCAAAGTTGAAAGTTTGTTCTAAATAAAGACTTAAATTATACAATTTTTATACAAATAAAATGTGTAAAATATTTTAAATAAGTTTTTGAATAAAATAAATAATAAACAATTGATTAAATCATTTACTTTTATAGTTTTTATATAAAAAAAAAATCAAATAATAATTTGTCTCCCAAAAATTATAAAATAAATGATTAATTTATTTATTTTAAAAAATGATTTAAAATATTTTACGTTTTTTATTTGTATAAAACATGTGTAATTTAGGTTTTTATTTAGAACCAAACATTAACTTTGGGTGTTTCATGCAAACTTGATATTAGCGTAAGGGGTTTCAAGCAATAAATAAAATACGAGGTGTTTTATGCATTCTTACTAAAACATAAGGGGGTGTTATATAATTTACATATTAGAACCAAATACTATTTTTTTTCTTTTAATTTGGTTTTTAATTTTTTCCTATAATAAATTTTTTATAATATATATTATTTATTTCATAAAA